GATTTTCTTCTTTGCTAGTATTTAGGCAATTTTCGTGATGTTTTCGCAGCCAAAGTACTTCGTGTTTGTTTTCGGAAATTGGTACGTTTATTCGTTGGATCATCGCTGGAGTAATCTTACTGTAAATAAATATCGGGACAACTCCTGTGGGTGTATTGGGCAACATAATGCGGAGTAAAAAGTTGAAGTTGGTTTAAAGTTACGTTTAATTTGAACGATACATTCAGCAAGAAGACAGATCATTCTACTGATAAAACGATACGAACACGTCGCAGTACTGGTTATGAACGAAATTCGACTAACTAAATGCACGGAGAATATAATTTATAATAATATAAAAGAAGTACAAACATGTTCTTCGCCGCACAGTGGGACAAAACGGCTCTCGGCGATCAAAAATCTGTAACTTTAGTTCTACTGGAGATATTTTAATGATATTTGGAGGAGTTTTGCTTCACATTATGGCCATTAAGTTGTATTAATATAAAATATATTAATCTAGAGGGTGACGAAATATTTACATATAAAGTACAGTGTGTGGAATATCTTAGCTATATGTTATATACTTTGTGTTTTATAATTAAAATTCACATCAAATCTGTTGATAAATATGAAAGAAAAAAATTCGATTACTTAAAAATGAATACACACATGTTTTAACAGTGGAAATAGGTTAATCAGTAGGTGACTGTCTTTTCTTTTCCGTACCTCAGATGTTTCAGTCGATACAGTTAACAATGAACATTTTCACACCCATACCACGAGAAAAAGAATAACGAATAAAACACTACGTGTTTCTCTGCTTTTAATTTTATTATGTTTTCCGAGAAGAAACTAATTGCAATTGGTATACTCATTACCACGACGAAACTAATAGATATGAACGTTACCTTTAGTTTTGTAATTGTAATGGATAAAATTCAATCTTGCAGTTGGAAATAGAAGTGAATGTTAAGTAAAAAATTATTAGGGTATATGGGATTAATACTAGTTAAATAATAACACTTAAAAAAAAGAAAGTACACCGAAAGTGTACTTTCAGATCAAATCAGCTTCTTAAAATTTCAATTCAGTTCCAACCATTACGATCAAAGAAATTCAATCCACCGTACGACTAGAACCTTCCAATCGCGTAGTACGTGCACGATTACACTTCATCGATGGTTGAACATTTTCGTACGATGGATAGCAAACTCATTTAACTATGAAATCTTAACTAAGCCATTTCGTATCGTCATCGACAAATATTTCCAAATCGTCGGCCTTTTTATTCTCGTCACAAAACCCAGCGTTCCCCTTTAAAATCGCAGAGTCAGAATGTTTAAGGGATAAATTGTTAATTACGCTCGCCATCGATCGAATGGTAGCTACAGGAAACACCGAGACCGACGATAAACCGCCAAAAACATAAAATTACTGACGCTTGGGTGTCGCGGTATTGCGGCCATTATACCAGACGATGGCTGATAATGGACACAAGTATGAAACAAAATTATCAACGCCGTACCGTTCCAACTTTATCTCATTAATTATTATGCACTTAACGTTGCAACGCAATGGCATAGCGGCCACAGTTGCCGAAGAACTTTTGCCTCTGCCGTTGCATGCCGCGCGACCGACGATGACTTTTAAAGTTCGGAGATTTATAGTTGGGCTGGTAACGGGACAAGAAAGTCCGACCTGAAGGGGGGCGGGGGCGGTAGACGGTGTTCCGAAAGAGTTTGCGGGTGTCAAACCGGCACACGGGTTCACTATTTTAACGACGAACTTTATGCAGGCACGATTTTACGCTGCAACAAACTGTCGCGTCTTTGTGGCGTAAAACGTTAATGCTTTCCGTTCGCACGAGTAGTCACCACTCGACGGTAAGTATAACTCGTCGGCCGATTAGCCGGGTGATGCGAAGGTGCTGGGAATATTAGGTGAGGATCGCTTTCTTTGATGCTTCTCGTACTAACACGTCGTGTAAGGGATCTCGAGGTAACACGGGCATAGTCTAGTTTTCACAATGCAAAGAAAAATTAGAGGAACGGAATTATTCATAATGGTTAGTTGCTGTGAGAAGTAATGCACGCAGTGGAGTGTAAAGTCGTACGTCGAACGCGTTGAAGGTAATATGGACAGGGTGGATTTACTTGCATCTACTTGTCGATGTGTCTCCTATTTTACTCGTCAATCTGCCTATCAACTTATCTGCTATTGTACTTATCAAGCTACTTGTCGATCTACATATTGATCTATTTAACAATCTATTTGTCAATCTGAATATGAATCTACTTGTTAATTTTCTTGTCACTCTATCTGTCCAATTTATCTGTTAATGTATCTGTTAATTTATCTCTCAACCTACTTGCCATTCTAATTAGCTGCCAATCTACTCGTCAAGTTTTGACCATATTTAAGAAGAAACATTTCGCGAAAATCATCAGTTTTATTCGTTTTCCACGTACTTGGTAGCTCGAAACGTCCACGAACGTCAAAAACTAGATTCGTTCCCGTATGGCACGTCGTGGTTTCGCGACCAGTGGTAAACTCGAACGAAGTTGCTACGATACGCCAAGCAGAAAATTATGAGGATCGTCGACAGACGAGCGACAAGATAATCCGTTTGGATGAGATCGAGGGTTCCTAGGAACCGCCTTCAATTTCAAACGCGTGTAATCCGAACGAGGTTGCCGCCTGTCGACGAAAGTAGCGCATAAGTTTTAAAAGCTTCTGCATATGAGGGGTCCACGGTTAAATGTGTTCACAGGGGTAATTAAACGTACAGTCTTTGGCGACGCCCCTGTTGAAGCGCGGGGGAACAGTCGTGTCCTGGTCTAGAGAATGCGACCACCGTGCGTAAAATTCGATGGAAACCAGCCCCTCGGCTGGTGGGGTGGAATACTTGTTACATAACTGATAGGGCGGGGTCAATTTGATTACGATCGGAGTAAGTGGAATATACGCTTTATATAACCGACTATCTCGATGGTACCTTGGTTTGTCACGGAGACTGTGCATTGCGAAATCAGCGTAATTAAATTTACGATAATGAAACTATGAATTTGAGTGACATGAGGCTAACCGAATGGGGAAAATCTTTTTAGTGGAACAATAAACATTTCTTGCAAATTTGTTGTATTATTGTGTCGAGAACAGTATTGGGAATAGAGAAATAAAATGTTTGTTGTAGACAATATTAAAGGATGAGAATCAGTGGAGTCTAAACACGAGATGTTAATAAATTCAACAGTCTATAATTGAGAATAAATCAAGAATTCATCTTGTTAAACAAAACATTATTGTCACTATATGAAGCAATTTATAAAGTATTGTAGACTTACTTAAAAAATCTTTGAGAATACATCATTTGTAAAATGCTATCCGAAGTAATTGGATACTCTCAAATCAAACGAAATAATTGGAAACGTTTCAAGCTCGTTATACGAAACGTGGTGCGAGTCTGATAATTTTCTCGTTTTTTTTTTTTCGTTTTACGTTCGTGCGCTCGAATCGAACGCTCAAAGCTTAAGTGTTTTTATCGCTTTGGTAATGAGCTCTATATGGTGAAGTATAGAGCTCATAATATAAATACCGTACAAACCAATTTCGAATGCACTTCACTAAATGAAAATGTTTGTTAATCCGGCAACTTCATAAGTACGTATTATGCTTTCCAAAGGACGCTCGTTGCGCGTGTAATATCCATAATATCGTTAAATGAAAGAACCGTGAAACGGGCGATTACGAGAGCGTAGCGATTATATTTCCAAAATAATGTTTCCAGTTCGAATGAGAAAAACACTCCAAGAATACAATTGCAATACTGCGCTTGAAAAGACACTGACTCCTTTTTTTTATTGAAAAGAAGATGTAACATAAAAATTGGTAACAAAACATATACATATATATTCCAATCTTCTGCATATTCTGATTTGAAATCTGAGCACATCTGTAAATTACTGTTTTTCTGGCTACCAGGAGTACAAATTGTGTCAAAAAAAATTGAAGTAAGTTTAAAGTCTCGCCATTTTCTCAATTTTTTAAAAATATCTTTTCTTCCTTTTTCAAGTGATTACCAAGCCGTTAATGAATAAAACAAAATCAATTTTCATTAGTTCAGACCGCCACCAGGGTCTACGTAATCGCGTTTACATTCCGATTACACTCCGTGGCGCAAAATATTATACCTAACTTGGAAACAAATTGAGCAAGACGGTTGTACATTGAGCAGAGTATTGTATACACGTGTATAAATAAACGTACCGCATTTTAAAAGTTCGTGTCAATTACTGTGGCTACAACAAAATTAAGAGAGTTGCCATGAATCTGGTAAAAAGATATACTTTAATTGTAAAAAGTAATAACAAAAATATAAGACATATGAGGATCAATTGTTCGTGTGAAAAGAAATCAAATAGTCCTTTACCATTTTCCGATTGGATCGTTCGTTACTGAGATATATGGAACCGAAGTTCACTCTCGAGCCATTCGTACTCAAAGGTCGTTGACCGAGTGGCTGCGCTCGCGCGCTCTCGCACGTGATCATGCGCTCGCGCGCTCCCGCACGTGACTATGCGCTCGCGCGCACCTCCACGTGGTCGGAGCACGCGGGAAAACTTCAATTGGCCGTATCTCCGTAACGAAGCCTCGGATTGGACAATGGTAAAGGACTTTTTGATTCGTATTAGCACTAGGTATTCATCTTCAAGAAGTGTTCTATATTTTTACTAACAATCCGTATACCATGTGTTCCGAATACGGTACCATAAGTATTAGGTTGTCCAAAAAGTTTCTTTCGTTTTATTAATAAGTAATACATACACAGTATTTTATGTCTAATGTTACATTATTGAATCGCGTACGATTCATTTTGATCCATTACAGTTACAACATCAACATCTAAGAAATTAGATTGTCTATTTGTATAAACACTGCCACACAAAAGAATTGAGTGCAAATTACGAAAGAAACTTTTGGGACAACCTAATATAAAACGTCAGAGCCAGTACGTTAGAAATATAATAAAAAAGTATTAAAATAAACTATGTACACATGTGATAGTGAAAGCGATCGACGACGTTCGGCAAAGTATGCGGCGACATAGTCGACGAGAACATGCGAGAGCCAACAAAAGACAGACAAAGGGCCAATCGAGGTCAAAAGCAAAAGGTGGTGACTTTAACAGTTGTCACCACTATAGCGAGGCAGTCTGGTTTTGGATCCCTGACAATGATGACGTTTAATGATAGTTTATTTAGCAAATGAAGCCGGCTAGTGTGAATACGCGAAGACCAAACTAATACAATTTATATTACAAGCAATTTAATAACATTTCGACTACAAATACTGGGTCATGTTCAAAATTCTTTCAAAAAAAAAAAAAATAAAATTATTAACGAGTTTCTTTCTCGTGCAAAAAGTGAGTCACCTGTAGAATACGTAATAAATGTCATTCATCTCTATCATCTTTAAATTTCATCCATCTTATAGTATGTTATATTAAATTCAGAGAAATTCGAAGACATTAATCTAAATATAAAGTCGTAATTCCATCTAGGAATGCTTCTCGTCGTACATTCTTGTTGCAATAATCTTCCAGATGAGCCGAATTTTCATAAAATATTTACTGTTTGTTGCAGTATAATGAACAACAACAGTGTCGAGCAGCCAGATCCCGACAACATAAAAATGTTCGTTGGCCAGGTGCCACACGACATGGATGAAAATGACCTGAGGAAGCTGTTCGAAGAGTTCGGTCGAGTGCATCAGATAAACATCCTGCGGGACAAGATCACCGGGAGTCACAGAGGTAAGTATTCGATCGGCCCATGGCCACGTTTTATAAATTCATGATTCCGCTATCCTCGTGGTGACTCTTAGGGAACCACCCGAAGACTCGTTTCACGCTCGCTTCGCACCCGTTCGAAAACTTTCCAAACGAAAGGGTATTATTAATAGTGACCGAGGTCGAGTGAAGAATATTATCTCTTATAAATAGAGTCTCAGTAATCGTGTAACAAAGTTCAAAAGTTTACGGACAGTATCTTTCTCAGTTCTGAATTAAGAAAGTTAACAAATGAATTTTAGACAAAGTAACCGGGCCTAATTTTGATAACATATTTATTATAGTACATTTTGATAGTTAATGAATGGATTAATATTATTCTTATAGAAGGTATAATTCAATTAACAACGAGTATAAATGTTCGCGGAACACGTCCACTTTCAATCTAATTGTGAGCACGTTGAACCGAAACCGCGTTAATTAAATTATTTGATTTTTCTACGTTCGGTAATCCTTGGTATCGCAATATTCGATAACGAACCGATTTTTCATTAGTCTCCCGTGTAGCGGGAGACACTTTAATCTTGCGGCAATTCTATTAACTACACCGCTCCCGATAATCGGGTAAAATTGAATTGTCTCGCGGCGTTTATTTTTAATTGTAGCACTGCCCGACGTTATTCACGAGAAACTTCACCGATGCGTACTTACAATTAGTCGCGTGTTTTCGCGACTTCGATGCGTTTATTACCGTAATTATCTTCAATCGCCGATATTGTGTAGATGAAAAATGTTGTGGTGCTTCACTAGTGCTTAAATTTATCAACAGTATAATAAATTTACGCTCCTTGGTATTTCGTCAGCTCTTTTTTACATAATTCAACTATCGATTTAAATATGCTGGGTATAAAGGTGAGAATTCGAAGGAGAATCGATAGTTGGATCCATCGAGAAAATAACTCGTGAAACGTTAATATTATAGAAAAGTTATATTCTCGATCATTGTTTAAACAATTATTGTTACTAATTAAGGTAACTATCATCAGAAATTAATATTTAGTTGCCCCAATCAATAGATATTAAAATATCGACAAATTTCTCACGATTAACGTCTCGAATGAACACTTATTCTGAACCGTAATGGTTACTCATGTTTAATCGAACACTGAATGATATTGTACGCATCATAAATGCTTAATTATGTCGGAGACATTAAGGTTTTAATTGCTCCAATCAATCCATATGAAAATATAGAAAACTATCTCACGATTACTTTTTCTCAACTTTTCATGTTCGGAAGTATTACTTTCTTGAAAACCGTTTGTATAATAATCTGAAACTTTAAAATGCATTAAATCTTAAAATTTAATTTCAGAGATCTTTACAGTATTTATAAACCAAGGGTCTAAGCAATTATAATCTGGTTGTACACCGGTTGTCGATAAGCGTTTGATCGGTGGGAGGATCGACAAAGCAACGAAAATCGATTTTCGCGTTTCCATGAAAAAGAAAATGGCGAAGAGACCGGTGAGCCCGATGCCTAGCCCTCTGTTCGCGTGCGATCGGCGCGCGGCGTAGTTGGCAGCGAAATGACGGGCGTCAGTATGACAAGCGCGAATGGATTTGGAAAGGGAGGAAGAGGAGAGAGAATGGACACCATTTACGATGGTAGGAAGGACGATAAAACGTTGCGACACGATCGTAGACCGAGATTAAACCAGGCACTGTTCGCCCGCGCCGCGTGGACATAATTCGAGAATAGAATAATTCTCGCGCTCGAGGCGGAGAAGATTGAACGATTTCAGCGAAGTCCTGGCCCGATGATGAATCGTGACAAGGTTGTCACGGTTGTCAAATAAAGATATTTCATTTGCACGTTTTGGCACACGCTGCATCATCCTTTAGGATAGAAAGAGATTAGTCATGTATCGGGAGAGGATCTGGAAGCCTCGCTTGATGGAGGGGATTCTTATATACAGTTTAAAATTTATTTACAATTAATCCAGTAGTATTTTGATCGTATAGGAGTTTTGATTGTAAAGTTCATGTTCATATTAATTAGATAGGAGACTACTCCTGTATCAGGAAGGGACCTGGAAGTCTCGCTTGATAGAGGGTTGAATAATATTTATTTATAATTAATTCATTAGTATTTTAATCCGATAGTAGCCTTGATAATAAAATTCATTATTATATTCGTGTATCAGGGAAGGATTCAGAAGCATGGCTTAGAAGTAGGGATTCTTTTGCACAATTTGAAATTTATTTGTAATCGATTCATTAGAAATCTTGCATTAGATGTATTTAAAAAAGAAAATAGATTTTGTCAACCAAAAAAAAAAAAAAAAAAACAACTTCTTCCATGAATATTCGAAAAATTATATTCGCGCTTGGTCTGTATTTTGAATCGACCATTTCTCGACCGATACATCCTTAACCTCTTGAGGAATATAATGGCACATAATGGTGGACAATTATAAGCCTCTATTCCAGTACGTTACGGTGCAATTCGATAGACAGCAAACTAGTTCTTAGTCGTATCATATAGTTATAATTATCCGATTCGCGAGTTATCGATACGTCGACAGCCGTTAGCAGCAGCCCTGCTGCGCGAGCAGAGACAAGAGTCGACATCGGGGTCGTCGATAAGAAATATAGAAACCAGGGGAACTAATACGCTGTAAGGAGAGGACAGTCGGAAGAATACAGAGAAAGTAAGGGCATATTCGTATAAGCGGCACACGCGAAGATCGATGCCCAGACACCGGTGTTCGCCGGTCGCACATCCAAGGTCCTTCCTCGAGCTATTGATCGAAGAGAGAACCTGTGTCCCTTGGCCTTTTCCGCTGCCACGCTGGAAACGTACATCTACGTACATACCTCGTGTGCCCGTGTGCATCCAACCGGCGGGGTTTCCGGAATTTGAAATTTGCCTATCATAACTGCAAATATCCGGTCCGCTTATGCCATACTTACTTTCGTTTGACCCTTTATTTACTGAATTTCTCAAAAGTTTTTAGAATCTAGGCGTCCATCTTGGTCTCACGTCATCTCCAAGAGTCGTCTGTAACAAGCTCCCAAATGGAAAATGCTTGAGCTGCCATCCAACAATTAAACACAATTTTGTATTATTCATTGAATGTTGAATCATATAAAAATTGAAATTCGATTGCATCGAATACTGTAAACAAACGTTCACGTTACAAATTCCATTGAACGTTGCATCGATTATAGATGACTTTTACAAAAGTTTGACAATTTATTTATATCTCTGAATGAGATATGACGTGAAACTATTTTTAATACTAACAACTGTGTAGAAATAATAGTAAAAACGTAACGGTGTAAATACGCGAAAATTGTTGATAATTTGAAAATATTAACGAGCGATTGAAACTGCTGAAATTCTATTTCAACGCATTGGAGACTGATTTAGTTGTTTCTCCTCGCATTATTGTTCATTCGAGAGTTTCTAGAACATGTATAGAGATACAGTGGCTCATTCTGTAAACGTAATGCAACTGCTGGGTCGGCCGTAAATCAATTATTAGTCACTATTTATGGCACAGAAAATTGCTTAGAATCCGATCCGCATTACCCGAACGCCTCATTAATTATCCATGTTACACTTTTGTCTGCGTGTAGCAACGAGAATGGAATTACGTGTTCAGTTTATAGAATTCGTATTTTCAATTAATTTTCTCGTCGTCGTCTCCTTATTAGTTCTCGATACTTATCTAATACTGCGAGCTCGGTTTTAAATTCTGGGTATTCGAACTTGTGTCTTCCTTCGCCGAAAGTGTCTTTAATTTTTGTGTCTCCATGTTTTATGATTAGACAATATAATAATCCTTTTGGACGAGGAAAGAGAAGAAAGATGCGGAAGGTAGGAACGAGAGTAAAAAGTCAACAGAATGAGTTGGAGCACAGAAGGAGTACTAAGCTGCAGAACTTATAAATTTATAGCCAGCTTTAGTCGTTTTTGTTTCAAAGGCATGTAATACATATTAGGTAGACTTGAAAGTAATGTCGTTTCTTTTACATTAAATCCAAACAAATTTTTGATCAATTTCTATTTTTAATTAATTATGTAATCGCCCTCGTTATCAACAGCCTCTTGTTATCTAGTGTGCAAATTTTCAATGGCAGATCGATAAAAATCAATGACCTGATGAGTGATGGACAAGTATTTAAAATTGCAAAAACGACATTACTTTCCAGTCCACCTAATATAATATAATTTGTAAATGATATGAAGTAAGTAATAGATCTTCCTTACGTAAAAATAACAAGGAATGAATTATCTACCTGGCTGTAATCACCTCTTGATATACTTTAAATTCCAAACAAGTTCTAAAAAGCTTCATTTAGCATCGTAATAATTTCAGAAGCGGGACAGAAATGATCTGCTTTGACTTCATGAATGCGAAAATTTAATGATGGATTTAACCGAGACCAATGGAAATTGCACAATCGAAAACTGGGACGAAATTATTGAAATGATATTAAATCACGAAATTATTATTTTATACACGCCCCTTTGCCAAGCGTACGTAATTTATTTATTACGTTAATCCTGCACCTGTGGTTTGTTATCGCAAGCTTTTGGAACGATATTAATAATCGAGGAATCGGTGTTACATAACAATACCCTGTATTTTCGCAATGTTGTATTTTTCTATGAATAATAGAAAATTTCGATTTAAATTTAAACACGAATCATAGGAATTTTCGGTAGCGAAATATAAAAATTTCACGTTACTGAAATTATTTACAAGAATTTTTGCTTCAATTACGGTATTGAAATGGCTACATAATTACTTATACACTCATATTAGTACTTTCTCTTAGACCTTCTGTCTTAAACACTTCTGTCTTAAACACTGGCGTAAGCGACCTTATGCTAAAGGGTTGAAAGTTTTCTGTTAGGCTCGCTTTTAAGTTACAACTTTAAGCGTACCTCGTATTACATTTCTTTGATGGAAAAACCAAAACCATTCAATTTTTTAATATAATTTCCCGAA